ATGGATGGATGGATGGATGGATGGATGGATGGATGGATGGATGGATGGATGGATGGATGGATGGATGGATGGATGGATGGATGGATGGATGGATGGATGGATGGATGGATGGATGGATGGATGGATGGATGGATGGATGGATGGCTAAGCACTAGATGGATTAATGTGTAAGGGATTGATTGACAGTTAGGTAGATGGAAAAATTAAATTGTACTTTGATTTTGGATAGATATTCATTTGACTTTGACTTTGACATGTCATTTCTTCAACTTATTTTAAATTTGTCTTTAAAATTTTTCCTAACACTAGTTTTATTTCCCCTCCAAATGGCTTTTTTTCTCTCCCCTATTTCCTTTTTGCCTTTCCTCCCACTTCTCTTCACCCTAGCCTGGACACCTCCTCCCCATTGGATCGCGAGAACACCTCACTCAGCTGTCACCTCTCTCAACCCATATTGATCGCGGTGTTTAAGTCACGTGTCAGCTAGTCTATCTGTCCCTCCAGCTACGCTTCCACCTATCCTACCTCCACACTCGCTATCTCACCTCCAAAACCGTTCCACCTCCACCATCGTCTGCCCTTGCCACCATGCGAGAAATCATCTTCCTCCACATCGGTCAGACGGGTATTCAAGTGGGCCACGCCATGTGGGAGCTAGCCTGCCTCGAGCACAATGTTGGAAGGGATGGTACACCCGTCTCCTTGTCGCAAGATGACGGCCTCAGCATCGATTCACTCTTTGTCCACTGCTCCAATGGAAACTACACGCCTCGAGCTCTCCTCATCGATCTGGATCCTACTGTTGTCGGTAAGTCCGCTAAACTGGAAGGTAAACTGTCTGAAGGAAACCATTTGACGATTCGCCTAAAAGAAATGGTGTTGCATAGTCACAGATCCACCTCCTTAGCCACGAATTTACCCACATAACGCTTCAGTGAAATCTAGACCCCAGTGCCTTCCACAAATGTTCTATTGAATTGTAAATAAAATCTACTGAGGGGATCGATTTAAGTAGTATTTACCTACGTAATATTTATCCACATATCTCCATGTCTATGGGTCTGCCAATTCCATTCATCCATCCATCCTTCCATTCAAGTCCAACCATCGTCAGAAGAACTAACTTCATCTTTTAGTCCGGACAGAATTTCAGTAATCCGGATTTTAACTTTCAGACGAAGTTCGTGTGGGTCATTACCGCAATCTGTGGAACACCTCTAACCTCTTTGGCGGTCGAGAGGATGCAGCCAGCAACTACGCCAGAGCCTACTACTCCCAATCGCTATGTCGACTTCCCGGAGTCCTCGATAGAATCCGCGTTCTTACCGAGCAATGCGAATGCCTCAACAGCTTCAAACTCGTCTACTCAGCAAATGGAGGCACAGGCTCCGGTCTAACTGCAGCCATTCTGGAAGAGCTTGCCTGCAACTATGGCAAGAAGCATCGACTTGCAACCGCCATCTATCCCTCCCCAATGTTCTCGCAAATTGTTGTGGAGCCCTACAATGCTACCCTTCATACCTCTTCCACCATTGACTTTTGTGACTGTGTCACCCTAGCTGACAACCAAGCGATTCACAGGATCCTGGGCATCCATTCAGGTCCAAATTCAGCCGGTTACACTGTGACGAACCGGCTCCTGGCTCGTCTTATCAACGCGCTGTGCCTGTCCCATCGTTACAACTTCATGGGACAGCAGAAAGTCGACATTGGAGAGTTGTTGACAAATCTTGTTCCCTATCCTCGCATCCACTTCCCCACCATGGCTTACGCGCCTTTCTTCAACCAAATGGCCGCGTCATTTGAAACGCCCACTGTAACTCAAATGCTGGAGCGGATCTACGATCAGGACAATCAACTCTCTAGCATTTGTATTCGCAATCAACCCTTCATTGCATGCGCTCTACTCTTCCGGGGCAACATCTCCCCATTCGAGGTGAACGATGCCCTCAAAACCATCAAATGCAACAAGAAGGCGGAATTTGTGGACTGGTGTCCAACCGGTTTTAAGACGGGAATCAACTTCACACCACCAATAGAAGTGCCTTGTGAAGGCTTTCCAGGCCTAGACACCATCTGTATCAACATGATTTCTCACAATGTTGGCATACGCGAGGCGTGGATCAGGACTGCTGATCACTTCAGCAAACTCTACTGCAAGAGAGCCTTCATCCACTGGTTTGTTTCCGAGGGTCTGGAGGAATCCGAATTTCTCGAATCGCAGGAGACCTTGGCAAGTATTATCAACGACTACGAGGAGATTGGCAAGTCACTGAAGGATATCTGTGGATCTGAGCAAATGCAACAAAGCAATGTGTGGATGGATGAAAAGAAACCGAAGTTTGCACCTGGTGGTGATGGCAGCTCATTCAAAAGACCGCCTCGATCGAGGTTTGCTTTCAAGACCAGGGGAATGCAAAAAGTTGAATCACGACGTCTAGCTAACATTGAAATAAGTCCAATTAGTTCTACAATCTCCTCCATAACTCCGGCACCATCGTCTGTGGCTGAATGCAATCCGAGGGAGGGAAGAAGAAACAAAAACACGAACTGCCTGTCTGATCCATCGCTTACACTTCGCCCCGTTCCACGACCGAGGCGGTCCCGCCTTCGAACCCTCAGTGGTAGCCATCGCGAGGAGGAGAAGTCAACTTTTTGCTCGGTGTTCATCGAGGACCTTGGCAGGGGTGACACAACAGTTGAAACTATGGAAGAATGCCAGTCACAGGAGGTGGATTATAGGGACTCGCTCATATCGCAATTTGAGAATAGCCTCTCCACAGTTACGGTAGATTGGGACGACTAGAAGCCGTGCGTTGTTTACTGTTTTATTTACCTTGTACTCTTATACGCCCTTTAGGATGATGTATTGATATCATCTGCATTAAAAAATGAGCCTTTTCCAACAAAAAAAACTCTGTGCTAATAAAGTTTAGGTACTTGGATTGTGCCTCCTTCTCCTTTCTAGCCAACAATATTCTGCCTACTTATATAGCCAATAAGTAAAAAGTATTTTTTCTAAACTCGTGTTCTGGGGTCATAGATCTGTCTCACTGAAGTTACCTAGGCTAAAGACAACCGGCTTTCAAACGAAAATGCAATTTTGTTAACAGAAAGTAAAGTCTGGAGAAGTCTGCTAGAAGCGTCGCCTACTTCTAATACACTAAGGCAAGGGTTAAAGGTGGACAAGACGGACAGGGGGTTGTTAGGTTACTGGTAAAGCTGGGCACCATCGTTGCGGAGGCCAAGGCAAGGAGGAGTAAAAAGGGCTGTGAAATTCAAACAATGACTGGATAGTTATAGTCTGCTTAGACTGCCTTTCAGAGAGGTGGTAGTAATTGTGCCGTTTCGGTTGGCCCGCCAGGCACCGAAAGAAAAAAAATTTAACAACAGACATTAAGGCTAGGAGTAAATTATTTGCCATGGCAAAGAGAAGTCTTTAATTTCAGGCGTAATTGTTAAAGGTGACGTGAAGATAGAGTCTAGTCTACAATGGGATAGGTCACAGGGGAACACAAACCTTAAGTAGTTCGTCAACACCGTCGCCTCGATCGACACGTGGGTCCACAACCAGTCTCCGTTGTTAGTTGACATGCAAGTTGTGTGTGCCATTTGAGGAGACGAGACGGCTTGAGTGGAGAGAGACACCTCACTGAGGTCAAGGTGAAGCATTGTTGGCAGTGCCACCTACA